TGCATCGACATTTCTTTGTTCTCATTTAAACAAAAGTTATTCGGTATGAAGAGAAGAGGAATAAGCTGAGATTTCGTGAGAGATAGAAAGGGGTACAATTTGAGTAATGATAAGTTACAAAGAAAGTACTAATGCACAATGGTCAGAAGGATAAATATAGGGTTTTGGGCTTTTTCTAAGCCTCCAGTTCTTAGGGAATGGCACCATTATTTCGAGAAATCCTTGTCGGTCTTCCGTATTTGACATAAAATGTTCAAAGTACTAATGCACAATGGTCAGAAGGATAAGTATAGGGTTTTGGGCTTTTTCTAAGCCTCCAGTTCTTAGGGAATGGCACCATTATTTCGAGAAATCCTTGTCGGTCTTCCGTATTTGACATTAAAATGTTCTTTTTCAGGATATCTCATGTAAGCTTAGCGAAGCGTCATTCTCGGATGGTCACAAGGGTTAAAGCCTTAGTTACAGGTTGCATTAAATAATTGACCCTGGGATGATTAACCGGAGATTGCAAATGGCAATTCTATTTGAGTTTCATTTAGGCCTCGGGGACTCGAACAACTGCGGATTTCAAGCTTAGCATATGGAGCCTGGATGCGGTAGCTATAGAGGTCTTCATCGGTTTGAAGGGTTGTACGTTCTGGAAAGTCAACATAATGTTCATTTTTAAAGAACTCCCGTCACCTATCATCTACATTACTGCAATCAGGTCTGACATCCACACATTTTGAAGTGCAGCGTCGTTTCGCCAAGCCGCAAATGAGCTGGAAGTCTTAGTCTTTCTTGATCGCCCGAAAGAGGCGAAAGCTTCCCCCTCCTAAAGATGCAGGTTCGTTAAGAACCTTATGTAAAATATAGGCTCCTCAAAGGGGAAACCGTCGTATTAATTATTACCCCTTCGCTGGGCTAAGGATCATGTCCAGAATGAGAGATCGCATATTATCTACCTGAAAAGAAAGAGCCCAATGGCACGCGTCGTCAAAATGCTTATCTTTGGAACAAATCAAAACCATCATGTGTAATAGAAATTGTGTTAATCTCCAACTTGACTCAGAAGGGAACACTGCGCTTGATGAATTGCAGCAGTTGCCGCTGTTTATTTTGGTACACCCTTTATACGTCCGAATTTAATCACGCTAGGTCGCAGTCATTACACGTGTCCTCTGCTTTTCACCTACCTTATTGCTCCACCAACATCGGGACTCTTACGGCCTCTTGTAACTCTGTGTTGCAGATGGAATCAACAATTTTTACACATGGAGTCTGATAGTGTGCGGTTGTAAAGCCCCTTCCTGACGTTTACATGAGCTAATACAACACCTTCATTTTACCAGCAAGCTGGCCCCTTGAAAGCCATCAAATACTCCCTTTGGTCGAGTCAATCATCCTTTGGACCCACCACCGCCCCCTATCTTAAGTGGTAACATTTTGTTTTACCGCATCAATATACTGTATTGCTCGACATGACAGTTTCTTTTTCGTTAAGATGACCGATGCTGTTGGCAGCGATGGTGGGTACTAATTTCATATTTTATTTTCACCTATCGTTATGCTTTCAAAATAAGAAGTTTCTGACACCAGAAAATCAGACCATCAGCCCTCGAAACCCCCGGAAAATGCGTCAGACCAGTTGGATGAGCCCGACGCCGAGACCGCGGATTATTTGGGGAGCTTTAACATTGATATGGGTACCTCTGCAGGTTAGTTTCCTGATTTGTGGGCTCTCGGGGCTGTTGGGATGCGATGCTCAATTTTTTAACATTTAACATATGAGTGATATTTTCCTCCTACTTTTTTGCGATGCTAGTAGTATATCGGAATTTTCTATTGTATTTTCCAAGCCCGGGCCACGTAATCCGCCTATCATCTGTTTTCCTATTGGTCTGAGAAAGGGTGGGGTTCACCAATTCGTGTGTTCTTGAAGATGAAGCCTTGAACTAAAACTGCTCGTAGTAATCCTTGTTCCCTACACCCCATCCACTGCCCCTGTTACCCAGTATCAATACTCAGCGGGGCTTGGCCCCCTCGAACCGTTCCCTCTAGGGNTCGTAGTACCCCTTGTTCCCTACCCCCCATCCACTGCCCCTGTTACCCAGTATCAATACTCAGCGGGGCTTGGCCCCCTCGAACCGTTCCCTCTAGGGACCTCTCATTGGGATCGATTCCGTTACTAGTCTTCCAAATGCTTACTTGCCCACATCGCTCAAGATGGTGGCCTATGGAGACCGACTATCGTCTCTGTCTGTCTGACAAAACTGAACCCGTGCGGTTCTTATGGGTTATGCTCGGATGAGTAGAATGCTCTAGCATCCCACAATTGTGTTAGTGAACATTGTCGGTACTTCTAATGACTTCTGTAATTGAATGGACGACGGCAATCAAAGGTGTTACCCTGGTATGTCACGCGACTCCTTTCGCGAGCCGGCTGTTATCGAACATCCCAAAGGTGATTCTTACGGATGTCTAAGGGCTGGTTACCGGCAGTGATGACAGATCAATGAACTCCGCTATGCGGGTCAATGCGTCTTTTCGCACTCGACGCCTGTAGACTAAATATTGTATTCCAACTGTTGGACAAAAGTGTAGCTACATTGAAAACTAGATGCGATCGGTTTTTGTTTGCTCCTGGTGTTCTAAGTGTTGGAAACTCAGCCTCGTTCTGGCCACTGGTTAGTGAGTAGGTTGACTGAGCATTGCTGAGTCTCAGTTGGTTTGTCTCAGATTAGACAGGAAGGCGCGGACAGCCGGGACGCATGGTTGTTGTATGCCGGTCACTGACAGTTTCTTTGAGTTACCAGGCTCCAGAGAAGTGGGGGCGTCCGACGATCTCGTTCTAGTCGGGAACAAGCCGTGTACCTTGTGGATTACATGTGCCATGATGATGCGGACGGACACTCCCCGTCGCTCCTGAATGGTGTACTGTTCGGTTCTGCTTTTCAAGTTCCTCGGGTCTACTTTAGGTGCACGCATCCAGCTTAGTCGTTAGGAAACTGACGCGCCCGAAGTCAAGTAAAGGTATCAGAATCGCGTTCTTCATCACCAGCTGACCTGCTTTTGGTTGACAGTTGTCATTGTAACGCGGTGTCATGATCCGCACGCGATCCCTCGGATCTTCTTCAGCCGGTCTTATCCGAGCATTGGATCTCTAATAAGACTGACTTCCCTGGGTCCCATAACAAGGACACCACTGCAACGACAGTTCAACTCAATGCTCGGCACAGCTGGAGGATCTGGGAGGCCAAGGAGATGGAGTGGTCGGGATGTTTAAAATTTTTGCATAATGGTTCAGTTTATCCGTATACTAAGTGCTCGGTAGCCTCATCAACATAACTACAAGGACCAGAGCCACTGTCTAATAGCTAACAAAGATGGACACTTTAACTAAAACGTGTAACGGGAATATGGGGCCTTTGTCAGCGTCAGAAGTGTGTTTCTCAGTGTTCAAAAGTAACTAGGCGTCTAGTTTCAACCTCTCACTAATTCCCTTGAACGGTGGTGGTATCATCCGTATTATATTTTTCTATCTTACACTAGTTTATTTTGCGACTTCATTCTGGAGGAGGCGACTGCAAGAATATCCCGGGCCGCTGCTATCCATGCAGCATGATCGGTAGCAATTTTCGCACCCAGTGTTTTCCAGTTTCTGTTCCACTGTTTGACCCCGTAGACTGCGTGCAGACCAACTAGTTCAACGTCGCCGTGTAGACAGCCAGGTTTTCAGTTGTCCGATAAAACACGGGACGGAAATTTCTCGATCATTCGGAGTCCGGTCTGCGGAGAGCACCTCCAAGTCGTTTAGTCGCTGGACCCATTTGATGTCGGTATCGTTTGGTATTACAGATTGATGCAGGGTTGGAATATTCAGATTCGCGAGGGTCACGCGGGGTTTCATCTTGTCCGGGGTTGAATTGACCATGCATGACCTGCTTTTTTCAAGGTTGACGGTGGATTCCTCAGCCAGTGCCAGTCTAACCTATTTGAGTCTATCTGGGATAAGGAGACCGTCCCAGACAACTGGGGTGAATCGATAGTAGCACCCATTTTCAAAAAGGGTACTCGCAGTGAATGTAGCAACCACAGAGGTGTTAGTTTGACGCCTGCTGTGACAAGGCTTCTGGCGTCATTGATTCTTCGTCGTCTTATGGCGGCACGCGAAGTCTTG